GTAAGCGCGCAAGCAAGTGAACTTAATATAAAGGATTTAAAAACAACTAAATTGAATCGTTTCGGAGGCAACACGAGCTTCCGTCTTCAGGTGGAACCGTCACAGCAGAATTACTGCATCAAGTGAAGACAACTCTAAGAGACACGAGATTATATACAGCCTGAGGGGGGCCAGGGGGGGCCGTGGGTGGGGGGGACAAGCTGGTGGGGGGGAGGGGCCAGGGTGGGTCGTGGGTGGGGGGGGGGACAAGCTGGTGGGGGGGAGGAGCCAGGGTGGGTGGGGGGGGGGACAAGCTGGTAACATCATTTCTTATGATGCAGAAGATGGCCAGTGAGTTAAAACGGGGGGGGGGGGGGGGGCGGAATTTTTATTTAATTTTTTAACTACGTAACCAAAGAGTGTGAAAGAGCGCCAGCTCTCTGCACAAGGGGGATTGTGGACTGGCTCTGACGGGTGCCGCTGCAAGCTTACAAAGAGCTTGAGTGCCCAAGCGCGTGCAGAGATTTCTGGAGCGAGACTCCCCCAAATCCTTTCAAAACGCCGTCGCGTGCCGTATTAGGAGCGAGTTGTTTATCAGCTAAAGGATATTTTGAGACGCTACGGCTGTGCGCGTGTGCCTGCCGAGTTTTATTTTTATTTTCTGAAAAATAAACGCCGTACATTCTTCTGATGTGAATTGACACACACATTGTGCCAACATGGCTCCGGATGACATTGAGCCAAGGCCGACATGCTGAGCTTTCAAAGTTTCTCACTGAAGGTGATAGTCACCGAGCGTTCATTATACAGATTGGTCGGCATTGGAATTCTTTTTTACATTTTGGATTTCCCACAACCGGCATTTAATTGAACACTCGCCGCATCCCAACTGTTTTAGCATTTTCCAGGAAATATGGCCACCTCAGAGCAGAGGTCGCAAACGGGTTTTGATTCCTTACCCGTACCCGGCCACACCAGGGTCGCAAACGGGTACCCGTACCCGACCGTACCTGTACCCTACCCGTACCTGGCCGGGTACGGGTAGGGTACGGGTATCGGGTACCTGATTGCGACCTCTGGGATGAAGCCATGTTGCAGGCGCGGGTGGGTTGATTCTAGGAACTTGAATTGTGAGAAGAGACAAGACGTTGGGAAATGAGTGACAAACGGTGACTCACCAGTGATTCACGGTCTACCCGTACCCGTACCCGGCCGGGTACGGGTAGCCGGGTATCGGGTAGGGTACGGGTATCGGGTACCCGGTTGTGACCTCTGCCTCAGAGCACGGGATTCTGCCAACGAACAATACCGCCTTCTCACTGCTCCTCTCCCATGGGGTGTTGTTGTTGTTGTCTAAATGTTATTGTCTAGATGTTGTTGTTGTTGTCTAAATGTTGTTGTCTAAATGCACCGCAAAGTAACGACATCCGCTCAGTCTGCAAATTAGTGGCGCAAAACGGAACTTGATTTTGATGCAGTAATTTTTAGCTGTGACGGTCCCACCTGATGACGGAGACTTGTGTTGCTTCCGAAACGTGATTTATTATTTTATTTTATTTCCATTATTACTTTTATTAACTTTTAATTTTGATGATTTTGAGGCCGGATTGCTGAACAAATGAAGGGTTCGCGTGTGTGACGCGGTAAACGCTCACCTTCCAGACGACTGCTGCTGCTGCTGCTGTCGATTGAAATTGTCATTGCCCTGCAAAAGATCAACGGGGGCACGCCCGTCGTCATTCACGCACTTCGAACTCACGATCGCGTGCGGGCAAGCGCCGCGTATGTGCACGTTCAATCTGTTTTGTATATCATCAGCGCGTGACATTTTCTTCACTTCCATTCTCACCACGGAAGATTGCAACCTTCACCGTTTTGTTTAGTAACAGGAGCAATCCGTACGCAGCAGGGTCATTGTGCCGACGTCAGCGCCCGACGTCTGTCCACGAATGGGCACGCAGACTCTGAACCCCTTGTGCAGAGAGCGCACGCACGCTCGCACACACGCTCGCACGCTCGCACGCTCGCACGCTCGCACGCACGCACGCTCGCACGCTCGCACGCACGCACGCTCGCACGTTTGAAGATGGGTCCTTGCCGGTACCACGGGTTTCGTGTTTTTTAAAAGTATGTAACGTGAGGTTATATCCGGCTCACTGACCTATCACAACTCGTCACGATGATTGGCTCTACCGGTCCTGGTCCACAGCCAATGGGGGGAAGCCTAGGGGCGTGGCCCTGACGTCATGGCAAGCTGACAGCTGTTTGTAGATGATTGGTTCTGCTGGCTTTAGCCACGGCCAATGGGGAGACGAGTCAGGGGCGTGGTCCCGGGAGCCTACGATGGAGTCTGGAAGAATCCATGGAGGCTAACCAGGTTTGGTGGAAACGTACCACGTGACCCGGGTATTAAATAGGGGTGGAGACGAGCGACACGTGGTCAGAACGGGAACGAACGGAGGAAGGGGGCCACGCGGGAGCGGGGCTCCGGGTTGCCACGTGGCAGTGCGTCTCTCTCTGTCTGTCTGTCCCTCTCACGCTGCCTGTCAGCAGCGTGAAGGAAAGCTGTTCATGAAAAGTGAAATAAAGACCAGATTCCAGGAGTCGCCTCAATGACCATTATTACACGTATATTAAGCTCGCCAAAAGGAGTGCTCGGATCTCAGCGAGCGTTTAATACGCGTGGCACCACGATTCGTACCTTCGAATGTGCCTCCTCATTATATCCGCTTCTCTGAGTCTCTTAAGCATCTGCCACCAGCAGATCGCAGGTACGCGTGGGAACCCACCCACCCCCCCTTCGTGCTGCTGATTGAGGGACGTTGGTTTGCGTAGAGGTCGAACCATGAACCTCTCCGATTCAGTTGCTTTGTCTTCTTGGTTCTTTCGGTAAAGTCATGTAGAAGGGAAGTAATAAAATAATAAAAATAAAACATAATAATATTTTATTACTTCCCTTCTACGTGACTTTAGCGAAAGAACCAAGAAGATGAATCCCTGCAGTCACGAAAGCTTTAAATCAGTTGCTTTATATTATAATTGATAACCGGAGTAAAATGCATGCAGATGAAATTTCGGCAAACTCAATCGACCGTACACAATGCGCCTATATTTTATACTTGATTGCAATTTAATTTCGCGGACAGTCTACGGAGATATGCATGGAAAAAAACACGTCATTCCCCCCTCCCCGCGCACGCTGCATTGTGCGTAGGGGGGCGGATGACGATTCGTGACGGATGATTGATTCTCAAGATTTCTTAAGTTATTGCCGCGGCAGTGAAAGTTCAGCGGGGAGTGCTTGGCGGGCCTCCCCGGGCCCGTGCGGTCATTTTCAAAAGGGGGCCGTCTTGCGTCGGCGCATCACCTACCTGTGTGAGGTCGTGCCGGCCAGGCACACGGCGCAGAGGGTGGCGACGCGGGGGCTTGCCAAGCGCCGGCGTTGCCGCGCCCGCCGCCTCCGAGGGCAGGAAGGACTTGTCCTCGTAGGCGTTGGGCGCGGTGGCGGATGCCGCCTCGCCGCCGGAGCGGGCGGCCGCCCCCGGCTCGTCACGCGCCGGCGTCCTGGCCCGGGCGGCCGCGCCGCAGTGGTAGGTGCGTAGCTCCTTGTTCTCCCGCTTGCAGCGCAGCACCACCGCCACCGCGGCCACGTTCAGGACGCACGACGCCGCGGCCAGCGCCACGACCGCGACGAACGGCGTCGCGAAGGCGCCGTCGCCGTCGTCGCCGTCGTCCCCGTCGCTGTCGTCCGGGAGCCGGCCCTCGGGGCGCGCGTCCGTGACGAACGGCGTCGCGAAGGCATCGTCCCCGTCCCCGTCGTCGTCCCCGCCGTCGTCATCCGGGAGCCGGCCCTCGGGGCGCGTGTCCGTGACGCGCACCGTGAACGTCTTGACCGACACGAGCGGCGGCGCTCCGTCGTCCCGCGCCACCACCGTGAGGTTGTACTCGGCGGCGGCGGTCGCCCCGCGGTCCAGCCGCGTCGCTGTTGCCAGCGCGTACACCTCGCCCCCGTCCCAGGCGCGGAGCACGAACGGCGGCGCCGCGCCGGGCCCCGCGGCCGACGCGCCCTCGAGCGTGCAGGTCACGCGCCCGTTGGCGCCCGAGTCTCGGTCCCGGATGCGGACGAAGGCCACGACGTGGCCGGGCGACGCCCCCCGGGACACGCCGACGACGGCGGCCGCGGAGTCGCCCGGTCGGGCCGAGCAGCCGCACGACGGGCGCGTTGTCGTTCACGTCCAGGACGCGCACCAGCACCGTGGCGTAAGCGGGGACGGAGTCGGGTCCCCGGTCGCGCGCCCGCACGTGCATCTCGTGGGAGTCGGCCTCCTCGTGGTCCAGGGCCCCCACGAGGGTGACTAGGCCCGAGCGCGAGTCCACCGCGAAGAGGTCGCGCGCCGTCTCGCGCGCCCCCAGCATCGCCGCGTACTCCACCTCCCCGTTGGCGCCCTCGTCCGGGTCCGACGCGTGGAGCCGCGCGACCAGCGTGCCCGCCGGCGCGTCCTCGGGCACCAGCGCCCGGTACACGGGCCGCTCGAAGGCAGGCGCGTTGTCGTTGGCGTCGAGGAGGCGCACGGTGAGCAGGACCGTGCCGCTCAGCGGCGGGCGGCCCCCGTCCAGTGCGGTGAGCACGTACTCGTGCGCGGCCCGGCGCTCGCGGTCCAGGGCGCGGCGCACCACCAGCACGGGCGACAAAGCGCCGCCGCCGTCGCGCGTCTCCAGGGCGAAGGCGCCGTCGTCGGGCTCCATCGCGTAGCCCTGCAGCGCGTTGGCGCCGGCGTCGGGGTCGCGGGCGCCGTCCAGTGCGAAGCGCGTGCCGACCGCGGCGCTCTCGGCGACCTCGAGGAGGGCGCTCTCGGCCGGGAAGCGCGGCGCGTGGTCGTTGACGTCCAGCACGTCCACGACGACGCGCACCAGCTCGGCGGGCCGCTCCAGGACGGCGCCGAGCAGCAGGGAGCAGCCCGAGCCGGCGGCGATCGCCCGGCGGCACGCGGCCTCGCGGTCGAGGCGCCGGCGCACCCACACATCACCACCGTCGGCGCTCACGGCGAAGTAGTCGGAGCCGTTGGTGCCCCGCAACGCTCGGAATCGGCGCGCGCGGAATTGCTCGGCGGTGAGGCCCAGGTCACGGGCCAGGTTCCCCACCAGCGTCCCCGGCGGCTCCTCGTCGCAGACCGAGTAGCGCGGGGGCGCCGGCGGCGAGCGGCGGGCGGAGGCGGCGGCGGTGACGGCGCAGCACAGGCAGACGAGGGCGGCGCCGAGAGGATCCATTTGTCCGGGTCGGGGCGAGCCGGGGGGGCACGAGCTGCGTGCGTGGACGGCGCCGGCCGAGGAGTCGGAATTGCGGGGAGACGAAGGGGGGAGAGGGTCGAGCAGGAATAAGGCAACGCTTGATAACAAGTATAACCCGTAAAAACAAAATTTTGGGGAAAAAAAGTGTCACGAACATTAATTGTCACGCACAACGAGTCTGTGTGCAAAATGTCATCTCGATTGGATCACGGGAAGTGGGTTAAAAAACGACGGAAAGATTTGCACGGTCCTAAGCAAGCAAGCAAGTGAACTTAATATAAAGGATTTGAAAACGACGACGTGGGGAAGCAGGTGATGGGAGGGGGAAGAACTGTTCGTTGTGATTTTTTTATTCGGATATTTTCAGTTGTGTAAATGAAATTGTGACGGGAAAATGGAAAAATTGACGATGCATAATCAATAGCGAGACTAGCTGTACAACCCGGTTTCGCCCGGGGGCTTGGATGAACCACGCCCGGCCGCCTTTGTCCCCCCAGTGGCGATGTTCACACACCACGCCAGTTACTCGTTTGAGGCTGAGTCGACCTAGGGGAGGCCCAGGAGCGGTTAAAATAATCATCACCGGCGGTGGCCGTGAGCGGGAATCGAACTCGGGTCGCCGGTTTCGTAGCGCGGCGCACTAACCGCTACACTACATTGCGTTACGCTTCCACATGCGTGGATTTGACATCACAACTCACTTGCCGTGCAAAAAATAACTGCATTATTGAGCTCCAACCCCCCAAAAAAGTGTATTTTTATAATTTGTGCACGGTGTCCAGTTTGGAAAGTACCCACATGGCAAATTTCAAGTTTGTTGCATGTCGGGAAGTACGCTAAACATTTTGAACAAACACACACAATCACAACTTTGCCTTTTATATAGATGGAGATGTAATCTTGGCCTTGTCAAGTTGCTTGAGGTGACGCGCTTGACGGCCATCAATGAATAGAGTGCTACGGTGAAATGCGGCGAAGTGTTTGACATACTTTAGTGCAAGCCGCCTCGTTACTGGACACAAACATCAAGTGTTTATAACACTGGTCAACAACTACAACATGTTTTTCTGGCCTGGACCTTTGCAGCAGTGTATAGTGTAAGTGTATAGTAGTGAATAGTGTAGTGTATAGTAGTGAACAGTGTAGTGTATAGTAGTGTATAGTGTAGTGTATAGTAGTGTATAGTGTAGTGTATAGTAGTGTATAGTGTAGTGTATAGTAGTGTATAGTGTAGTGTATCGTGTAGCAGTGTATAGTGTAAGTGTATAGTAGTGAATAGTGTAGTGTATAGTAGTGTATAGTGTAGTGTATAGTAGTGTATAGTGTAGTGTATAGTGTAGTGTATAATGTAGTGTATAGTAGTGTATAGTGTAGTGAATAGTGTAGTGTATAGTGTAGTGTATAGTGTAGTGTATAGTAGTGTATAGTGTAGTGTATAGTAGTATATAGTGTAGTGTATAGTGTAGTGTGTAGTGTATAGTGTAGTGTATAGTGTAGTATATAGTGTAGTGTATAGTAGTGTAGTGTATAGTAGTGTAGTGTATAGTGTAGTGTATCGTGTAGCAGTGCATAGTGTAGTATCTAGTGTATAGTGTCGTATATTAGTACAACCCACGGGTGTGTTAGAGAGCCAAGCCACAACATTTACAATCTTGCGTCATGGAACACAAACGCTGGACATTGATTGACAAACAGCAATTCTGTCTTTCGATTTAAAGCTTTCGTGACTGCAGGGATTCATCTTCTTGGTTCTTTCGGTAAAGTCACGTAGAAGGGAAGTAATACAATAATAAAAAATAAAACATAATAAAACAATTCTCACGACGTTTCGGCCACAACGCAAGCAGCCGTCCTCAGGTGAAAACCAGGTCCGTCGAGGCGACAGAGTCTGAATGAAACAGCACACGAGCTTGGAGCATATATATAAGCTGGGCGCATTGACAAAGGAATTTGCATATCAAAAGGAATTTAGCATATTTATGGGAAATGCAGGAATGTGATTAGTCCTGCATATGCATGTGCATTATGCAGGATTAACAGCATCAAAGGGAGCTGCAGTTACTGCTGCTGCTGAAATTACTGCTGCTGCTGCAGTTTCTGCTGCTGCTGCAGTTGCTGCTGCAGCAGCAGTAATTTCAGCAGCAGCAGTAACTGCAGCTCCCTTTGATGCTGTTAATCCTGCATAATGCACATGCATATGCACGACTAATCACATTCCTGCATTTCCCATAAATATGCTAAATTCCTTTTGATATGCAAATTCCTTTGTCAATGCGCCCAGCTTATATATATGCTCCAAGCTCGTGTGCTGTTTCATTCAGACTCTGTCGCCTCGACGGACCTGGTTTTCACCTGAGGACGGCTGCTTGCGTTGTGGCCGAAACGTCGTGAGAATTGTTTTATTATGTTTTATTTTTTATTATTTTATTACTTCCCTTCTACGTGACTTTACCGAAAGAACCAAGAAGAGCAATTCTGTCTGTTACACTTGTCAACAACAATAAAAAAAAGTCTGGCCTGGACTTTTGCAGCTGTTTCAGACTAATTTCAGGGTGCTGATTCCAAATCTGATCTCAGATTTGCTCAATCACATCTCATTTCTATGCTATCGGCATACCCCATTTTCATTGATTTTACCCGAAATTACCTCTGTCACATGATTGAAAGTTGTTGCGAGTGAGTGACTGCTTTAGTGTTACAATATGGTGCTGTATTTTTAGGATGGTGTGTTTACAATATCATTTTATGTAGATATCCACATTTATTTCAGATTTTTCTTCCGCATTTTTTATTGAAAATGCAATATTTGATATCTCAAAAACCTGACGTGATAGACAAAAACTGATGCCAGATTTGGAATCAGCACCCCACAATTACATTAAGACCTATGGGATATCTTATTGCCAGACAAAGTGTGTTGACCAGTGTCATTTTTAGATGTCGTGTTTCGCCTTGGCTCTAATTGTCCACGCTCAACTCACGTTGGCTGTAAGTCACCACGGCCCCTGACGTCACGGCAAGCCTCGGGGCCACTTGCTGGAGTTCTTCCATTACTCGTACGGTACATAGGATTTTTCGGTAAAGTCACGTAGGTAAAACATTACAATTTATAAAAGTAAAATAAGTTACTTGATACGGTAAGCGGGCTGTGACGGTTCCACCTGAAGACGGAAGCTTGTGTTGCCTCCGAAACGTCGTGATTTTTATTTTATTTTTATTTTACTTTTATTAATTTTATTTTTTTTACCTACGTGACTTTAGCAAAAAAACCTAAGAATATGAATCCTTGCAGTCAAGAAAGCTTCAAATCTAGAAATAGTAGGGTACATCTTCTTGGTTCTTTCGGTAAAGTCACGTAGAAGGAAAATAATAAAATAATAAAAATTAAACATAATAAAAAAATATTATATTATTAATAAAAATAAAACATAAGAAAATAATATATTATTTGTGTTTTGTTTTATTTATTTTATTATTTCCCTTCTACGTGACTTTACCGAAAAAACCTAAGAATATGAATCATTGCAGTCACGAAAGCTTCAAATCTAGAAATAGTAGGGTACATCTTCTTGGTTCTTTCGGTAAAGTGACGTAGAAGAAAAATAATAAAATAATAAAAATAAAACATTAAAAATATATTATATTATATATGAAAATTATAAAAGAATAAAAATAAAACATAAAAAAAATATTGTTATATTATTAATAAAAATAATAAAATAATAAAAATGAAACATTAAAAGATATTATATTATTTTATTATGTTTTACTTTTTTTAATTATTTCCCTTCTACGTGACTTTACCGAAAAAACCTAAGAATATGAATCATTGCAGTCACGAAAGCTTCAAATCTACAAACAGCAGGGTACATTTTATTAAAGCGTGTGTTTTAAAAAAGTTAGTAATATCACTCATCATGTTCATATCCAACAACGCCGAGTGGCTAAGACATGTGGACGAGATCAAGTTGTCTGTCAAGAGCGTGAGCGCTGAGTAGCACAGGGAGGAGGAGACGCGTGTTTGGCCACGTACCCGCTACGGGATTCACCAGTCGCCGTCGAACCTGCAGCAGCAGCAGTTGGTGTAGAGCAACACAAACAATGTCAAGCAAAGCGTCGTAAGGGAGGCAAACGAGAGAGAGGTGAGAGAGAGGAGAGGCCTGGGGCGTTGAAACGAACGTCGCAGCTGTTTCTGAGGTCACGTGCTGACCACGTGGGCGGGTGAGTTGACCAGCAGCAGCAGCAGCCAATGGGAGGGAGGCGTGACGCACGCGCGGCTCTCAGCCAATCAGGGCTCTGTCCGCCCGTGGCGCGTGCTGCCCACCCACTCGGCCAACATGGCGGCCTGGCACGACGGACGATTTGGTTGTCAGCGATCTGGAGTTGACGTTGACGTCACTGCAGCGATCCGTACTCTTTGGTTCTTTTGGTAAAGTCACGTAGGTAGCAAAACAATGTTCTCGCTGTGGTTTTCCCACCTGATGATGATGATTGTGTTGCAATCGAAACGTCGTGATTTAGTTTTGTTTATTAAATCCTTTTTATTAAGTTCACTTGCTTGCTTGCTTGCGCGCTTACGACCGTGCAAATCTTTCGGTCGTTTTTTTAACCCACTTCCCGTGATCCAATCGAGCTGACATTTTGCACACAGACTCGTTGTGCGTGACAATTTATTTTCGTGAAATTTTTTTTCCAAAATTTTCAACTTTTTAGGAATTTTTTTTTTCATATTTAATTTAAAATACCAATGTGATAAAAATGAAACTCTTACTCAAGAAAAACAGAAATGAATAATAAAATAAAACCGATGCCACGCATATAAAGGATTTATAGTGAAAAACTTTGTTTTTACGGGTTAATTTTTTTATACCTATGTGGCTTTAGCGAAAGAAACAGAGTATTTATCAGCATATTTGTATTGTTGTTACTAAGATGGAACTGTGTGCTTGTGTGTGTACGCAACCAGCAACACGGTTTAC